GTGGTGGTGGGAGGAGGGTGGGAGGTGGAGGGGGTGATGCCTGGGCCCCTTACAGGGTGGAGCAAGCACTGGGCATCAAGCCTTGTCCCCTCTCCCCCAAAGAACAGGCTCTAGGAAGGCAGAGACTAGGAAGCTGCACTAAACCCAAAGCGGCAATGCAGACTGGCTGCCTCATCTCTCACAGGTGGAAATGTTGTGACAACCCTGACTTTTACCAGTTTATTTCCACTGTATTTTTATTGTGGTAAAATATACATAACACAAACGTTACCATTTTAACCATTTTTAAGTGTGTGGTTCAGTGGCATTAAGCACGTTTACATTGTTGTGCAACCATCACCACCATCTGTCTCCAGAACTCCCTCCCCGCAAACTGAAACTCTGTTCCCATTCAACACTAACTCCCCAATTGCCCCTCTCTCCAGCCCCTGGTAACCACCCTTTTAATTTCTGTCTTTATGAATTTGAATACTCGAGGTTCCGCATGTAAGTGGAATCATACAGTATTTGTCCATTTGTGACTGGCTTATTTCACTTAGCATAATGTCCTCAAGGTTCATCCATGTTATAGCATGTGCCAGAATGTCCTTCCTTTTAAAGACTGAATAATATTCCATTGTATGGGCATACTGCATTTTGTTTATCCATTTACCTGTCAAGGTACTTGGGTTGTTTCTACCTTTTGGTTATTGTGAATAATGCTGTTATGAACATGATGGTGCAAGTATTTCCTGAAGCTCCTGCTTTCAATTCTTTGGCTGTATGCCCCAAAGTGGAATTGTTGAGTCATATGGTAGTTCTATGTTTAACCTTTGGAGAAACTGCCAAACTATTTTCCATAGTAGCTGCACTATTTTATATTCCCATCAGCAATGTGCAAGGATTCTAACTGTCCACATTCTTGCTAACACTTGTTATTTTTCTTCTCTCTTTCTTTCTAATAGTCATCTTAATGGATATAAAGTGGCATCTCATTGTGGTTTGGATATCTTTAGTATTTTTAATTCAAATAAACCTTAATTCCCTTTTCCTAAAGCGATTTTTCTCTCCTTACCTCCTTTCCTGTCCTCCCACCATCTTATTTAAAAGTTGTACAATATTAGATGCCATTCAGAAATCCCATAGTCACAGGCTTTCATGTTTGTTTCTACTTAAGTGGCTGAGATTTTAAAACATCAGTTGAGAGGCAGGAATTTTAATGTCTGTGAGAGAAAAATAGCCTTTTAGAAGACACTGTCTTGGGAGGCTCATCTGCAGGGGCCCCCAAAAACCTTATAACACACCCAGGGATGGGTTCTGCCCAAGGAGACACCGGCCACAGAGGCATACAGAGCTCCCCTCTCACCAGCTGAGTCGCTGGCCTTGGGTGTTTGGGATGTTTCTCTCCAGGGGACCCTGGGCCCTGGGGAGGCTGCTCCGAGGGCTGCTCACAGTCCTCCAAATGCACTCTGGCTCTGCTTCCTGACTGGTGTCCTGGCAGAACAGAGTAAGGGTCAGAATTAGTTCTGGGAAGAGTGGAAACGTTCTGAGAACAGAAGGAGTTGGCTGGAGAGGGGGTCTTGGTAGGCAGGGCTAGTCCCATAGTATCACCAGGCTCAGGTTAAAAACTTTGAAGTCTGTTCTGTAGCATTTTCTGCAGGGGACGTGATCACTTTGCTTGTTAAAAATATGAGCTGTTGATTGGGAGGCAGGTGATCACTTAGGAGGCTTCTGCAGAGGTCCAAGAGAGAGGAGATGGTGGCTGGGACCAGGGAGGTGGTCGTGGTGATGGAGAGAAGTGGACAGACTGGAGATACATGTGGCGACTATTAGCACTCAGTGATGGACGGTGTGGAAAGATCGGAATAGAAGTTATCTCCTCAGTAAGTGATGTGGCCACGAACTGAGCTGGGTGCAACAGGGAAAGTGCAGAGGGGGAGGTGTCCAGTCTAGATGTCAGGTGGGACAATGACGGGTTTGTCTTCCTTGGAGAAAGGAAGACATCTGCACTAAACCTGGACCAGGTGGTTGTAGGACCTTGTTTCAGTTTTACTTGCCAAAGCTACTTTTGACCTTTGACCCTCAGCTATATTCTAACTATTTGAATTCAAGAAAGATAATTACCATTCAACTCAGCATCCTCTATGTAGTACCCAGCAACCAATTGGATAGGAGAGGGCTTCAGTTTACATCTGCAGGTGGGCGGATGGCGGAGGGGGCGACAGGATTCTCCAGAGGCAGTGGCTTACTCTGTGTCCTGTGGCAGCCTCAGGGCATGCAGCCACTGATGGGGCGATGGCAGTGCCCCTTGTTCTGGACAGGGATTTATGTGGGACACCTCTGTGCCCCTTCCCTCCCCCTCCTGCTTGTCCTCTTCTTCTCACTCCTGGAAGAGATTGCAGAAGGCCTCGAAGGCTCACAGTCCACGTCTCATGGGACACACCTGAGTGACAGCATCTTTGCTTCTTCCTAACTGGGAAGGCCAGCTTCCCGCTTGCAGGACCCTGATCCCTGCTGCCCTGCTCCTCCCGTGTCTGTCCCAACCAGTTTACACATTCTCTGGGTCTATTACTTGCACCACCCTGTTTCAGCACTGAATTGTTTACTACTTGGGAGCCACTGCATGCTGTCCTGACCTCAGGTCCCCCGAGCAGCCCTCTGTAGGACAGCCCTGTGTGGGACAGAGACCTCCTGGATACAGCTCATGCCAATACAGGATGTTTGTTAAAAGGTTGCAGAGGCGGAGGGAGCAGGTGCCTGCAGCCAGGCTGTGGAATCCTGCAGCTAGAAACTGTTCCAGGTGAGGTGAGATGGTTTGGGGGAGAGGACTGAGCCAGGGCTACCCCGGGGACTCCCAGCAAACTGCCCCCCTCCCTCGCCTAGGGCGGCAGCCTGTAGGACACTAGACCACGGAGGGACTAAACCAGAAATGGGATGTCAATCAGTCTCAATATGGGCAGGGTTTAAGTTTGTGCCCCCATACACTACCCCAGCCTGGCAGGAGGACCAACAGACCCACAGAAGCAGTCAGTGTCAAAATGAATTATGTTTAAAAAAATAAAAATACATGTGAAAAGTCTATGATGAACAAGTGATCGAACGTTTAAATCAAGATAGGTTGTTGTTTGTTTTATGACCCCACACTGTTGTGCAGTGGTTGGTGGTCCCCTGCCATGTGGCTTTATGAGGGTTGACAATGAACTGTTACCAGATTTAGGCAATTTAGCGCTTTAATATAGTCATGTTTTATGACTGTAGAACTTCTGTTAACCTTTCTCCTTTGATCCAAAATATGGGAGGATATTTTGATGGGTATATGTAGGGGCTCATCTTTTTCTTTTTGTCTCAGGCTCTTGGCAGGACTCCTCCTGGCACTGGTCTTCACGCTGGATTCCTTAGGTAACGCGTTATGTACATTGAGGAGGGGACAAAGCTGCGGTGCTCCCTGCCGTGCGCCTACTTCAGCCAAACGGTTTGCCATTCTGCCACGCACAAAGGTAGTGAGCAGTCTGAGGAAATTCAGACACCAGATGACGGCAGGCTAGTGCTCTTTACCATACATGCATTGTTTATCTTGTCATTTTATTCTCAAATCCTTTAGTACATCTCCCAAGGAGAAGTCTGCTTTGGAAAAATCAAAGAAATTACAAGAGAACAAGAAAAACCAGAAAAACTAAAAACTTTTACTAACAGAACACCAGTTCCTCTCAACGCTCTCTCTTAACAGGCTCTGATCCAAGGTGAGCGAGGGGGGGTGCCGAGGGTCCTGAGCCCCAGCGGGGGGTGGGCAGGCCATACCAGCCTCCATGCCAGGAACCTTTGGGGACGTCAGGTTTCACATCATTCTCAAGGAAGGAGGGCTGACCTGCTTGACCCTAAATGGCCTTCTCAGCCCTCCTTTATGTCTCTCCAGGTTTCTGCTGCTTCGGAGCCCACCCCTCTGCTGACTGCTTTCTCAGGTGGTGGCCCAATCCCGAGAAGCAGGCCGCCTCTCCACGTCCCAGTGCCAGCACGGATGACTGGACGGGCTCAGGGGCCGCTGGGAGGGGTGCGTTTCCAAAAGCCTCTGAGTGTGACCCCCAATATGCCCTCACAGGCCTTGCTGTGCACAGAGGGATTCACCGCAGGGGTGTGGCATGGCTCCTGGGGCTGTGGCAGACAGGGGGTCGGGTCGGAGGGGCAGGCTGTCCTGCCCTCAGGTCCCCGAGCAGCCCGATGCAGCTCCTTTCTCTGGCCGCCACCTTCTACCAGCCCTCCTCCCCGCGCTGCCCAGCACTCCCGGGCGCCGGGCTCCACCACGGGAGGCCCGGCCATCGCTGACTCGGCCCCGGGGGAAAGGCCCACCTGGAGGGCCGGCTCCAGGGCCCGAGGGCGCGGACCGGGCCGAGCGGCGGGCGCGGAGCTGTCCAGCACCCGAGCAGGGCGCGCGCCCCGGCCCGCCCCGCGCCTCCTCCCGCCCCGCCAGCGCCACTGCGGCTCGGCGGGCGCGTCACGTGGCTGGCGCGGCGCGGCCTCGGAGCTCCGGGCGGGCGAGGGGCCGGGCGGGAGGACCCAGACCTGCGGACCCACCACCGGTGGCACCGGCCGGGCGGGCTGCGCGGCGCGGCGCGGGGCATGGGCGCGCCGGCGGCCCCCGGGCACAGGCCGGCCGCGGCTGGGCGCCCGGGGCGTGGGGGCAGCGGCGGGCGGGGGTCCTCCCTGGTGGCCGCCGCTGAGCCCCCGCGGGGCCCGTGACGCCGCGGCCGATGTGGCCCCGCGCGCCGCCGGCCTGCACCGCCGCCTCGCCAAGACGCCGCCACCCGCGCCGGGCCCGCAGCCGCTGCGGGAGTCGGAGCCCGAGCCCGAGCCGGAGCCCTAGCGGGACCCGGGGGGCAGGAGGCGGGCCTGCAGGCGGCCGGGGCGGGCATGGAGCTGCGGGCGGTCGCGGGGCCGGAGGGGGCGCCGGGCGCCCGGGCGCAGCTGGCGGTCGTCTGCTTGGGTGAGTGGGCCGCGCAGGCCGCGGGGTCCGGGCCCGGGTCTCGCAGACCCCGCCGCGCCCGGACGGGACCCTCCGCCCCGCCCTCTCCCTGCGGCCGGGCTTCCGGAGCCGGCGCCGGGGAGCTCGGGGCCTGCTGGGTCGCGGGCCTGGTGGGCGACCCCGGCCCCTCGCGGCTCCGAGCGGGCGACGCGCGGGGAGGCTGTGCGTGCTGGCGGCGGCGGGCGCCCGGGGCCTCCGGAGCTGCGGACAAAGGCGAGGCCGGCTGCCCCTTCGCCCCCCCCCCCGCCAGGAAGTCTCCTTTTTCTGCCCGTAGTCAGGGTGGGGGCGGTGCTGACCGGAGGCTGGACTCCGGATGCCCGGCGGAGGCCGCTGCGAGAATGCCCCAGGCCCCCTTTTGTGTCTTCTCGGGACCAGGGCCGGCCCCTTCAGTTCAGTGGTGCCTGGGGAGGCCCAGGGGCCCGTCCAGGCCAGGCGCCTGCCAGGGGGGTTCCTGCCCTACCCAGGAGTTTGTCTGCCCACCTTTCCAGGGCCCTATGTCGGGGAGAGAAGGAAAGAGTTAATTAGACCCTCGGTGCACATGGCCCCTTATTTACCAGGATAAAGGGGGGAGGCCCTTCTCTGAGCCGGGGGTCAGTCCTGGACACCCTGTGGTGTCATTGAGGAAGGCACTGGAACCCCATAGGTTTGCTGAAGCTCCTGAAATGACAGTTAAAAAGAAACCTGAAGGTTTGAAGCTACATGATCCCCTGTCCCTGCAAGAATCAGGGTGCCGTGTGTGTGTGTGTGTGTGTGTGTGTGTGTGTGAGGGGGGGGGGGGGGGTGAGGGAAGACACCTGCCTCTTGTGTGAGCTTCCAAGTGCTCCCTCCCCAACCTCTTGGTGGTCTGTGCTCTGGACTCTGAGTGCTGGGTGGGCTCCCCGGGCAGGGCAGGCGGCCAGCCCTTTGGCTTCCCACGGCCCTCCCTGCCCAGATGTGGCCCAGAGCCTGGGTGTCCCGAGAGGGGGCAGTTGCCCCTGCTTCCTCGCCAGGTGGGGTTAACCCCTCCAGAGACACCCTCTGCCTTCCTTGGCTCACAATGTTGGGTGGAGGGGGCGCCCTGAACCACTGCGAAGTTGGGTTTGCCCATATCCTCCTGGTTCCCCTGCAGGAAAGCAGTGCAGGAAAGCAGAGGACAAACCCTGGGGGGGGGGGGGGGGGGGTACTTGAGGGGGTGGGTTTCAGGAGAGTTCCTTGCCTCCCTTCTCGAGGTTAGAGTGGCACAGTAAAGACGCCCCTGACCTCTCCTAGGCGTGCACCCCTGTAAAATGGGGGATCAGCACGTCTTTCCTACCTCCTGGCTGGCAGTGGCTGAGGTGGCAGGAACCTCTTGAACAGCCAGGGCCTCTCTCTGATGGGTGGTCCAGGCCTGAGCTTCTCAAACCCAACAGGAGACAGGAACATACCCCTCCCAAGTGAGTTAGAGTTCCCAGGCGTGGGGAGTGGCAGGAGTGGTCAGGTGCAGCCCGGCTTGCGCACTGCGCTCTTCTGCTGTAGGTGTGCAGTGTGTTCTGAGACCCTCTGGGGTCCCTGCAGGCCCAGCTGGGAGCAGCAGCCTCTGTAGCAGTGCTTGGGGCTTTTGCTCTGTGAGAGGAAGCCAACCAGCCTGGAGTTGGGGCTATGTTGTCTTGTGCCCCTGAACGGCAGGTGCCTAGGTCCCAGGAGCCACCCTCCCCTGGACCCTCTTTATGTTTTTCGCAGTGAACATCGTTCTCACTGGCCGGCTCAGCAGCGCAGTTCCTGCTTTAGGTGAGTAAGACACTCCCCTTCCTCTTCCCTTCTTCCCTGCCTTCCGGTTTAGTAACCTCTGAGGACAGGCCTTCAAGGTCCGGGTTCTACCTCTGAGGTCAGTCCTAGTGTATCTTTTCTGCATCCCACAGAGGCTGTTTGACTTTAGGCAAGCTTAAACTTCCCTGAATGTCAGTTTCCACGTCTATAAAATGGGTGCAATAATAAGACTTACTTCAAAGCCTGTTATTAGGGTTGACAGATTGTACTTCCTGTAGGCTGTGGGGTTCCCCAAGGGCCACGAGCTGCCAGAGATGCTGCCTGTTTTTGAATTATACCTGGGATTTAATTTATAAAGGCATGACTGAGTGATGGCACGGAGAGGTCAATGCCGTTGACGGAAGTTGTTACGTATGTGTCTTGAGAGAAAGGGATACTGGCCACACCACGCAGGGCCACAGATTCGATCAGGTTTGATGCAGGGCGGCCAAGGCCAGAGCATCAATCGGAGTTTCTGTGGGAACGTCAAGGCAGGGCAAGGCAAACCGTTTAGAATTGGCTAGGATGGTTTAAGGCAGGGGAAATATTGGCTTGCTGTGTGAATCAGGTAAGAAGGCGGGTGGGGGCTCAGCCTTGGAGCAGCCGGCCTGGGAAAAGGCAGGCTCCAGACAAACCGGCATGCAGGAGAGAGGTGAACACGCTGACCGGTAGTTTGGCCCTGCAATGAATGGATGCCAAATAGACATATAATATCCGAGAAAACACAGTTGGAGCTCTGCCCCTGCCTTTGCCTGTTAGACCGGGTCTGTCCGTCCACTGGCCATCTTTGTGCTTGCGCCTTGTGCCTAGTGCAGCAAAGACTGTCAGGAGTGGGAAGGGAGGATGAGCCCATGAGGGCATTTGCTCTTTGCTGAGGGGGTTGCCAGGGTTTGGCAAATGGGTAAGTCTAGAGACTCTCATGGCCCTTGGTGCCACCAGGAGACATCTAAGAAGGGCCTCAGGAAGCTGGGAGAATGTGCGGTCCCCAATCTGGGTACTTGCTGATTTGTTTGCTATCTGCTGTGCTGCATGGAGGGGCAGGAGATAGGGGACTTCTAGTTCTGCCCAGGGCTCAACTTTAGCAGAAACTCACTGAGGCTGGTTCAAAGAGAGGTGTCTCTGCTAGCCAAGGTCACGGATGGGAGGCCCAGAGTCCACAGAGCGCTCTCATGGGCCCGCCTCTCAGACCCGGCCTGTCAGTCTCCTCCCGATTCTCCTTGCACACCAGCTCCGGCTCCCTGCAGCCCGCCTCCTCTGCTGACTCTGCTGGCCTAGGGCCCTGCCTTGCTCAGCACGGAGTCAGCCCAGCCCTGCCTGGCGTCCTGGCCCCCTCACCATTTCCAGGAGAAGACTGGCTGGCTGTGAGGGAGCGGGACGGCGTGCGGGTCTTACAGATGCGAGCCCCAGGCCAGCCCTGCTGCTGGTGTGGTGGGTTGACATGTCTGCCACATGCCTGTGCCCCAGTGTGGATGCTACAGGCATGAGGTTCACCCACAGAGCCAGGGAGGGAAAGATAGCCACCAAGCGCCTCACATTTTGTTCTTAGTTATCAAGACCTCAGTCCCAGGAGGTCCACATTGTCCAGCTCCAGGGGCCTCTGTCCACATCATGGTGCCTGTGTTCAGTGTCCCCATGTCTTGAGCTGCGAACAGTCTGTGTGGTCACAGGTGGTGGTCTGAGTCCTACCTTTTCTGGAGTCCAGCCCTGACCCCTCTAGCATTGCTAAGAGACAGCTTAGAAGCTGAGGCCCCCTCCCCCTCTGACCCAGGGCTCCATGGTTGCATTTTCAGGATTTTCCCTGTGACTCCTACTGTGAGGATCCTGGATCAGGACTGTCCCCTTGCCCCTTCCCAGTCTTCACTGGGCTCCTGAGGGCCTGGCTGGGCTGTCCTGGGGATCTCAGCCCCGGGACTAATGCCTCCTGCACCTTGGACTCTGGGCTCCGCCATGTGGCTACTATGACCTGGGGTGGCTTGGGTAGGTCTTCAGGCTGTTCTGCACTCACCTGGCAGCTTCTCTGAGCTTCTGGGGTGGGGGTCCCAGCTTCCTGTGGTCTGGTGACAGCAGGCAGGTTGTCTGGGGTATTGGTGGCCTTTAGAAACCGGGCCTGCAGCTGTGCTTCCTCAGGCTCAGGCCCTCTCAAGAGTATGTGATGAAGGAAAGGCGCTCGCTGCTCTAAAAAATGCCCCATCATCCCTTGCCCACTTGAGCAGGCCACTTTGCCACAAGGGCCAAGGGAATTTTCTGCCCGAGTGAACACAGGTCCCCTCCAGCTAAAGCTCTGCTAGATCTCTCTGAGTGTCTCCTAAGCACCCCCCAAATCTTCTATTCTGCTCCAGTATCTCCCCAAACACACAGTCCTCTCAGCTCCCCATACTGCTGGCCCATCCCATACCCTGTCACAACCCTCAGCTCCCACGGGACGTAGCCTCCCACTCACCCGTCCCATGAATGTCTGCCTGCCACGTTCTCCAGATTTCCCAACCACCCTCAGAGAAGTGCACCCACTGACCACATTTTACTGATGGACAAGCAGAGGCCCCAAGATTGGGTTCCTAAGCCACGTTCTCCTGCCTGTGCCTGGATCCTGTGTTGGGTGGGCTTCCTGCTACCACAAAGAGGGCTGGGGCTGGTTGTCTGCGCTGGTGGTACCCTCCAAGCCCATCTCCAAGAGGTGTCCAGTCAAGAGGCCCTGACCAGAGCTCCCAGCTTCCTGCACTGACCCCGGCTTCCCTCCTGCTCCACATTCACTCTGCGTGGCTGGGCTGACACAACTGTGTTCTCTGTGGCCCGCTTTGGAGAAGAGCAGACAGTAACTGAATGACATTGCTGCCCCGGATGTGAGAATTTCTGGGGCAGCTCTGGGGGCCCCTCAGGAGTGAGGCTGTTTGGGGGATGTGTTGTCGGAGGCTTTGTTGAGAGGCAGAGCTGGCCTGGCAGCTGTCCAGTCATCTATTCCTGACGTGGCTGGTGGTCTGAGACAGGCCTCCTGACCCCTGCAAGAGAATACTTCTCCCTCCAGACATAAGTCCTGGAGGGAGAAGTATTCTGGCTAGAGGGACGGCATGCAGGCATGGCTTTCCCGCCGGTGTGGGTGAGAGACCTGGCCTCTGAGTGTTTCGTCTCTGGGGAAGGCTTCCAGGCCATAGCAGGTATTGACTGGGCCCTGCTCTGCCCAGATCCTGTCCTGGGGCTGAGGATACGGTGGTTCCCAGCTTGCCTGACCTGGGCCCCCTGCCTCAGGCCAGTGCTTCAGAGACTCCGTGTGGGGGAAGATGCGCTCTAGCAGCCTAGGCCCCCCTGCCTGTGACCCTCCCACCTGGCACCTTCCAGAGGAGAAGGTCTCTTCTGGTTTGCATAACCCCTCATCTCTCAGGGTGTCTCCAGGCCAACAGCCAGGGTCCCTGTGAGGTCCACAAAGCTGGTGGCTGCACCTGTCAGAGGCAATGGCCAGGCCATTCTGTTTGTTTAGTCCTTCCTCTGCTGGCCTGTGACCAGCGTGCATCGCTCCCATTTATGGGTGAGAAATCTGAAGTTCAGGAGGGCTAGCCTCCGAGGATGAGTGCCAAGTGGAGAGTCTTGGCTAGCGTCTCTCTGACCTGGCGAACTGAGGGCGAACTGAGCGAGGTCAGCCTTGTTTTAGGGTCACGTGGTGGTGTTTTTCTTCTAGTCCTTTGACTTTCTTGTGAGCTGTGGAATGGGGGTTTTGGCTCCCTGGCAGTCACAGTATTGGGTCACTGGACCTCCATGGTCATGGCGGCCCCAGTGGAAGGAGTTTCATGCCTCCGAATGCTAAGCAGGTGCTCGGCTGGCCAGTTCTCGTTGACCCATATTTATTGAGCACCTGCCGGGTGTCAGGCCCTGTGTGGGATCCTGGGGACACAGTGTTGAGCCAGAGCCAGCACAACTCAAAGGGAAATTGCTGCTCTGGCAGGTGCTGTGGAGGAGAGAAGCGGGGGGACTGGAGCCCTAGTGGAGGGTCCCCTGGGGAAGGGGCCACTGGGCTGAAGCCCGTAGGAGTGGATGGGCTAATGGGTGGGGAGAGCATCCTGCCAGGGGCCGCATGACAAAGTTTCCCTCCCATGGGAGGTACTACAGGAGGTGTGAGTGGAAAGATGGGTTATAGGGGGAGATGAGGCAGAAGAGGTGAGGGGCTGGTGCCACTGTGATGAATTTTGTCCTTGTCCTATGAGCATGAGGACAAAATTTTGTGAAGCTGTGTTGAGAGCCAGCAGAGACCCCTGCTTCCGGGGAGACAGTGGAAGGTGCCAGGCAGTGGGAGAGTGAGGAGGTGATGGCACTGGACTCAGGTCATCATTTGTCTTCCTGAGCCTCAGGTTTCCTGTCTGTATTAGGGCCCGCCTTTGCCACAGGCTTTTGGGAGGATTCAGTGAAGCAGTGTGGTGAAAGGTTGAAGGGGCAGTGAGGGGTGGGGGCAGCCAAGGGCAGGGGCCTTGCCTGGTCCTGGGAAGGCTGGGAAGTGGAGGGCATGTATAATGAAGAGGGTATAATGAGCCTGTGGTGAGGAGAGCTGTGGGGGGAGGGGCATGGTGGCCCCTCACTCACGCTGGCAGGTGTGACCTCTGCACCGGTCCCTAGTACAGCGCATGGTGACACTTCATAAATGCGTTGGCGCAGGCACGGCCGTACCAGAGGAACAGGGTGGACTCTGACTGCCACTTACTGGCTGTGTGGCCGTGGGCTGGCCACTTATTCTCTCTGAGCCTCAGTTTTCTCATCTGGTTACGAGCTCTACCTCCAGTGGCTTCCCACTTATGCTCAGGATAAAACCCAAATTCTGTGTAATCAGACCCAGCCTGTGTTTCCAGCCCCATCTGGACATTTGCCCCTCCCTTCAGGCCTGTTTTGTTATTTTCATTCCACGCAGGGGATCTGCATAAAGTCAGCCTGATCCCCTCCGCCCTCCGCAGCCTGTGAGTTCCACAGAGCCTGTCTTATTCAGCATGCCTCGCACTGTGTGTGGCACATAGTAGGTACTCACATCTGTGTTGGGTGAACAGAGCTTCTTTCCTCTCAGACTGAGGGCTGTATTTGTCAAGTCCCAGGGAGGTCAGGCAGGTCTAGGGGTGCAGAATTCTTAACTGAACTGAGGTGCCAAGGCCAAGAGGCTGCACCTCAGCGGTGCCGAGGGGAGTTGTTGTTGGGCACGCTTCCAGCCCTGCCAGGGAGGGGAGATAAGGCCTAGGCTCTGTGCCCAGATGGGGTTGGGGGCTACGGCTGCCCTTAGTCCATGTGGGTGCTTCTTGTCCCTCCATATACACCACTTCCATGAAGTCTCAAGTAGTGGCCTTGCCCTTGGCTATGCCCACCCTTGGCTGGCCTTTATCACACCTTGGAAAGGCCTGTGCTCAAGCTAAGAGTCCCCACCTCCCCCCACTTCCTACCCAAAGGTGAGGCCAGCACTTCGCCTCCTCTCCTGACAGCTGCCTGCAGTGGGAAACTGGAGCAGCACACAGAACGGCGTGGCGTCATCTATAGCCCGGCCTGGCCCCTCAACTACCCGCCGGGCACCAACTGCAGCTGGTACATCCAGGGTGACCGTGGCGACATGATCACCATCAGGTATGGGAGTCCCTGGGGGGTGTCCAAGGGAACCTATATGGGTCTGCAAGTGCTAAGTGTGTGTGTGTGAAAGAGAGAGAGAAAGAAAGAGGGAGGGAGGGAGGGAGAGAGAGAGAGAGAGAGAGAGAGAGAGAAAGAGAGAGAGAGAGAGAATGTATGTGATGGTGCATGTGACTGAGCGCATATGTGGGCAGGCATGGAGTGCATGTGCGAGCATGTATGTGAGCATGTGTGAGCAGGTGTGGAGGGCACATGTGAGTGTATGTGTTTGAGCACGTGTGTGCTTGTGTATGTGTATGAGCTCAATCAGCAGGTATAAATGACATGTGTGAGTCTAAGCACATGCATGTACATGAGCACATGTCTGAGCAAGTTAGGAGGACAAATGTGAGCAGGTGAGTATGCAAGTGTACGTGTGAGAGTCAGGTGTGAACATGAGTGCGCTGTAAGCAAGTGAGTGCTGTGAGCATGTGAGTGTGCCCAGCTCCCAGGTCTCTGTGGGCCTCTGTGGCTGGCTACATGGAGCTGGGCCTCGTCTTGCCCTGAGCCTCTCTCAGTGGCTGTGGGGGCTGTGAGTCACCTAAGGCCTGCCAGGAATGGGAGCCCTGGGGGCTGGTAGGCATGGTCTAGCTCTCTGAGGTGGCAGAGGTATCTCCTCTGTCCTGCAGGGGTGGCTAGCAGCTAGGGTTTCTCCAGGGTCCTCAGGGCAGTCTCAGCAGGAGCCCAGGTGCTCCAGCTGCAGGACATGCAGAGGGAAATGGGTTGAGGTGAACAGATGCTGGAACTCCTGGCCTGGCTGGCCATGGGGATATTTGGCTGGGGAGTCACTCTCCTAAATGCCGATGCTCAGAAGGCCCCCAGTTACTCCATAGCTCCAAAGCATGGGATGTGCTGGCACAATCAGGGTGTCCTAGTGTCTGTGCCTGCTTTCCCGTGGTCACAGGGCTGTGGCTCTCAGGCACATTCTCTTCAAAGACTTCACCCTCCTCCAAAGACTCCGGGCTCTATGATCTGCTCGTCCCACAGCCTGGGCCAGAGGTCCAGGGCTGATAAATTTCTTCCCAGGTGACAAGCTGTCACCTAGCCCCAGCCTAGCCCCACCCTGGGGGCATGCCCCCTCCCCCACAGTGCACAGGCCCGTGAGTTTGTGCAGGGTCTGTCCCAGCACACCCAGTGTGGGTGGGATCTGGGGCCTTGGGTCTCCCCACTTGGGAAGGTATCAGGGGAGGGAATTGCCCAAGATGGGGCTCCTCACTGGTCAGGCCTCCACTTTGGCTTTGGGGTGGGGATGCTATGTGTGTGCTGACAAGGCCTTCCCAGAGCTGCAGGGTCTGATGTGAAGGATACTATTCAGAGTTTTTTATTCTTCTTGGATCTGTCCTCAGATCCCGGGTGTCTGGGAGTGGAGGAGCGGAGGTGCAGGGTCGGGTTGGCCATCCTTGTTCTAAGCTCAGGCCTGATCGTTCTCTGCTGGTCCTTGGCCACATGGGCCCTGCCTGCCTACCCACCCTTGCAGCTTCCGCAACTTTGACGTGGAGGAGTCCCACCAGTGTTCCCTGGACTGGCTCATGCTGGGCCCAGCGGCCCCACCCCGCCAGGAGGCCTTCCGGCTCTGTGGCTCTGCCATCCCGCCTGCCTTCATCTCCGCCCGGGACCATGTCTGGATCTTCTTCCACTCTGATGCCTCCAGCTCCGGCCAGGCCCAGGGCTTCCGTCTCTCATACATCCGAGGTGACACCAGCAACGGCATCGCAGGGCACCACAGAGCACTCAGTGCACCACGTGGGCGCCTGGGGCCAGAGCAGCACCCCCCATCTGCCTGCTCCCCCCTGGGTCTCCTCCAGGAACCCCATCAGGCTGAGCACAGTGGTGGGACGGGGACTAGTCATGTTGCTGCCTCAGCGTACCTTGGAGTCCCTCAAGGTCACTGATCCCACTCCAGAATTGGTTAGAGTGGGGGCTCACCCCTTCACCCAGATCACCCTGCACCTCAGGTCAGGGACTTAGTTTACCTGACATTCGAGGGGTCTTTATGCCTCAGGTGGCCATGCGAGGCCAGGGGCTCTCCTCTATGTCTCCTGCCTCTTCTGGCCCTGCAGAGGCCCCACTGGAATGGGGGAGCCACCCTGCCTGTTCCTGGCCCTCAGGCCCCATGCCGGAGGAGGCCCTGCCCTCCCCTCACTATCTTCCTCTGCTCTCTTCATTCCACAGGGAAACTAGGCCAGGCGTCCTGCCAGGCAGACGAGTTCCGCTGTGATAATGGCAAGTGCCTGCCGGGCCCATGGCAGTGCAACACTGTGGATGAGTGTGGCGATGGCTCTGATGAGGGCAACTGTTCAGCGCCTGCCTCCGAGCCACCCGGAAGCCTGTGCCCTGGGGGCACCTTCCCCTGCAGTGGGGCACGCTCCACGCGCTGCCTGCCTGTAGAGCGGCGCTGCGACGGCACGCAGGACTGCGGCGATGGCTCCGATGAGGCTGGCTGCCCTGACCTGGCATGTGGCCGGCGGCTGGGCAGCTTCTATGGCTCCTTTGCTTCCCCAGACCTGTTTGGTGCAGCCCGAGGGCCCTCGGACCTTCACTGCACATGGCTGGTGGACACACAAGACACGCGGCGTGTGCTGCTGCAGCTGGAGCTGCGGCTGGGTTATGACGACTACGTGCAGGTGTACGAGGGCCTGGGTGAGCGTGGGGACCGCCTGCTGCAGACGCTGTCCTACCGCAGCAACCACCGGCCCGTGAGCCTTGAGGCTGCTCAGGGCCGCCTCACTGTGGCTTACCATGCCCGCGCCCGCAGCGCTGGCCACGGCTTCAATGCCACCTACCAGGTGAAGGGCTACTGCCTCCCGTGGGAGCAGCCGTGTGGGAGCAGCATCGAGGGCGACATGGGTGACACAGGTGAACAGGGCTGTTTCTCGGAGCCACAGCGCTGCGATGGCTGGTGGCACTGTGCTAGCGGCCGAGATGAACAGGGCTGCCCCGCCTGCCCTCCGGACCAGTACCCCTGCGAGGGTGGCAGCGGCCTGTGCTACACACCTGCTGACCGCTGCAACAACCAGAAAAGCTGCCCTGATGGCGCTGACGAGAAGAACTGTTTCTCCTGCCAGCCTGGCACCTTCCACTGTGGCACCAACCTGTGCATCTTTGAGACGTGGCGCTGCGATGGCCAGGAGGACTGCCAGGATGGCAGCGATGAGCACGGCTGCCTGGCAGCCGTGCCCCGGAAGGTCATCACCGCCGCCCTCATCGGCAGCCTGGTCTGTGGCCTGCTGCTCGTCATCGCCTTGGGCTGCGCCTTCAAGCTCTACTCACTGCGCACGCAGGAGTACAGGTGGGCGGGCGGTGCCTCACTGCTGCCCGGTGCCTGGGGTCACAGGCCATGAGCCTCAGCTTCTTCATTTCTTTGGAGAGAGGCTCTGGGCTCACTGTTCCTACAGCTGTGGGTAAATTGGGGCTCGGGCCACCCATGTGGGACTTCTCTTGTGCATCCAGGGTCCAGGCGTCTCAGGATGTCTGGAGGGTGTGGCAGGGCCCACATCCTGCTGTAAGCCCTTGCACAGTGCCCCGTGGGAGGCGGGAAATGTGGGGTCCTGGCCAGCCCTGCTATGCTGCCCTTCTGCCCCTTGCTTTCAGGGCCTTTGAGACGCAGATGACACGCCTCGAGGCTGAGTTTGTGCGGCGGGAGGCACCCCCGTCCTATGGGCAGCTCATTGCCCAGGGCCTCATTCCACCTGTGGAGGACTTCCCTGTCTACAGTGCATCCCAGGTGAGCTCCAGAGGGCATGAGACCCTGCAGTCCTCAGATCCCGGCTGGACCTGCGGGAATGCTGAGACAAAGTGGGGTAGATGGAGGCGGGAAGTGAGGCCGGGGGAGGGTGACATGGGGGCCGTGGCCAGATGGGGAGGACAAATTGGTCTTTTGGGGTCTTGGGTCCCTTGGGGGTCGTGCTGACCTCTGCCCCCTCAGCCGCCGACCCACCCTCCAGGCCTCCGTGCTACAGAACCTTCGCACAGCCATGCGGCGACAGATGCGCAGGCATGCCTCCCGCAGAGGACCCTCCCGCCGCCGGCTCGGTCGCCTGTGGAACCGGCTCTTTCACCGGCCGCGGGCACCGCGAGGACAGATCCCACTGCTGACTGCTGCGCGCACCTCACAGACAGTGTTGGGTGACGGGCTCCTCCAGCCTGCACCAGGGGCCGCCCTGGACCCCCCAGCACCCCTTACGGACACAGGCAGCGCTGGGGCAGCTGGAGATGGGTCCCCCAGTGCCCCCGTCCATACACCAGAGGTGGGACCTTCTGTGCTGCCCCCCTTGAGCCTGCAGGACCCAGAGTACAGGCCAGTGGACAAGGACAGAAAGGCCTGCAGGGACCCTCTGATGGACAGCCCAGCTTCTGTGGACACGCCTCGGGAGCCCTGCTCGGCCCAGGACCCTCACTCCCTAGCCCCCACTGCCGGCAGCACCCTAGGCCCCCACCCACCAGAGCCACTGGGTGTCTGCAGGAGCCCCCCACCCCCCTGCTCCCCAACGTTGGAGGCCAGTGACGACGAGGCCCTGCTGGTCTGCTGACCCACCAGACGCGCTGGTGACTGCCACAGCCCCGCTTTGTAACCAGGGAATATACAGTTGTTTCTACCCTGCCTCTGCGTCCTTCTTTCTTGCAGTGTGGCCCACCCAGAATCCCGCCAGCTTGCCGCATCAGCATCCCTTCTGGTGGGCAAGGCGGGTGGGGCTGTGGGGGTTCAGCAGGGGGAGAGTGGAATGATGAGCCCCTCGGTGTGGTCCCGTGTCCACACAGACACCTGGGGTCTCACTTCTATCTCCCCCCTCCATTTTGGGAACCCATTTCCAGAGAAGCAGGAGGACCAGGGGAGAGCTCTCTGGGGTGTTGTCTGTGGCTTCTCACTTCATTCACCCCAGAGGGCGCCAGAGCTGTGCCTGAACTGAATGTAGCTGTTGGGCACATGGAACCCGTCCACGTCCACGGTAGGTCGGCTCTGTTGGCCCTGAGCTCTCCATCCTCCCAGCAGGACCCGGAGGAGCTGGGCCAGGAGGCTTCTGCCCCCAAACTCATGCCTGTGGTATAAGCCTGGGCCTGGCCAGGCTGATGACCCTTGCCCTCTAGCTGGAAGGGTCAATCTCCTGGGCACTGGGGCACTGAAAATGTGGGCGGGGGGAGAGGAAGGCCCGGGGAGATGCTGCTCGATGTTTCTCAGGGGACAGAGGCTGAGGCACAAGCTGACAGTGGCCAAATCCATCCCCTCCTGTCCCAGGGCCTCCGTTTCCTTACCTGTAAACCAGGGTGAGGCATGAGCTCCGGAGTCCTGACCTCACCCCGTGGGGATTTATGGGAACAAAGGCCGCTCTGGAGGGAATCCGTGGACTCGCCCAGGGGGAGGCTGAGCCGCAGCCAGGTCTTGCTGGGCCTGGGGAGGGCACACCCGCTGCTTCCCAATCCTCGATGTCCCTTTGGGGCAGAGGTGGCGCTGGACCCGACTGCCAGTCCCAGAGAGGAAGTGCCCGGCTCAAGTGGCAGAGCCCTCAGTGCAGGCAGGGGCCTCCTCCAGAGCCTGCGGCACCTTCCCCACCTGCTCCACAGGTGCCCGCAGAGTTATGCACACTTGGGACTCACCTGAGACAAGTGCACCACCGGCCCTGTTTTATTCATAGATCTTTTCAGGAAAAGCCTGCAGGGCCGTGCTGGCTGGGGACCTAGTCCACATCTTAGGGCTTCCTTATTACAGGCCGCTAAGAGTGGGAACTCTTTTTTTCCAGGAAAAACAACTTTTTTCCGAAACACCTCCTCAATAAACAACATGTAAACAGAAATAGCTGCTTCAGGCTCCATAAGTGTCTCATTGTGTCTTCAAGGGCTTGTCCACGGAGGGCAGTGGGGAGGGCTGGCAGGGGCCGTTCTCCTCCTCCTCGGGGGCGCCCTGGGGGTAGACCACGAAACACAGCTCCTGCCCCCAGCGTGTCATTGACTCTGAGGACAGACAGACAGACAGATGGACCTTGGGATCTGACCCGTGGGACGCGGGTTCTCAGGGAGCTGCTCCATTTGTGGTGGGTCCCAGACACTTGGGCCTCATCGTGGGGAGACAGTTGGGGTGGTTGGCCCTGTGTTGCCAGCACAGCTGCTGGTAGACCCTGCTCAAGGGCGAACCCCCGAAAGAGTCCCATCTGTAGCCCCAGCACTTGGGGAAGGCTGCCCAGCTCACCCGTGAGTCTGTGCACACACTTTGGTTTGCTTCTCCAGAACACTCCCAGGAAGAAAATGGGCACCCCGGTGAGGATGATGATGACGCCGATCCCACACACCATGGGCTCTGAGATGAAGCTGAAGATCAGCAGGAATGCCCAGAAGACCAGGTACGCAGCAGGGACAAGGAGGTTCACCTGTGGTGAGCGAGCGGAGCACCCATGGTGCGGGGGGCCCCCCTCCCCCTGCCCCACCACCCTGGGGGCCCTGGTGCTTTCCACCCTTTCCTGAGAGCTGACCCCTGAGGGGCTGGTCCCCTTCTGGCAGCAGCCCAACATGCTGAAAGCCCATTCTTGGATGGCCAGTTGGCCAAATGGTTAAGGATTTGTCAGGGTCAGCAGGTCCAAGCTCTACAGTGACTGTATGTGGACTTGAGGCTTGCACTTGGTTGCAGGTCAAATCTTTTTTGGCCTCTTACATTTCAGGCACTGAACCCTTCTCCAGCTCAAGGATTTATTTGCAAACAGGGGCACTTTTCTTTTAGCTCAGTTTAGGGTCTTTTGTTTTGCTGTGGGCTCATGAACTCTTGTGCAACCATGAGCGAGTATTCAAGTCACCCACCTCATGGGGTTGTTCTGAGGACTAAATAGGCCAGGGCACACAAAACCCCGAGCAGGGCCTAGCATGGGGCGAAAGCTGGAAGCCCCATTGCCGTCATCACCCGCCACGGATGCCCAAGTGGGTGAAGCTCTCACCTTGATGGGCCTGTGGAGCGCCGGCCGTCTCCAGCGCAGCACGAGCAGGCCCAGGATGGTGACGCCGTAGCAGAGGTAGTTGATGAAGGACACGTAGTTGATGAGCGTGTACGTGTCTCCCACAAGCAAGATAACCGCCGTGGCCCCGTACTGGGAGAGGACCGAGCTGAGGGCTGGCCTCCCACCTGCCTCCTGTCAGCCCTGCAGGCTGCCCTGGGGCTGCGGGCTCAGGTCAGGAGGTCGGTGAGCCCTGGCCCTCCCCACTCCCTCCGTGGGCTGCCCACCAGGGCCAGAGCTCATCCCTGCTACTGCCCACATTGCTGGTGGCTTGGGCTTCCTGCCCTACCAGCCTGGGTCAACCAACTTACGCAGACGAGGAGGGCAGGTATAGGGGTGCAGCGTCTGACGTGGATCATGGCCAGTAGGCTGGGCAGGTGCCCTTCTCGGGCTCCAGAGAAGCACAGCCTGGGAGATAGAGATGGGTGGGGGATGTGAGCCGGCCTTGGGCCTTCCCTCAGGCCAGATCCTGGATCTCCGCTCTAGACCTGATATCCCTCTTGTTGTCACCTCTGACCCCTTGCTCTAGGCCCCAACAGCCCACCAGGCAGTTCTTCCCCGCCTCTTGCCTGCCTCCCTCTTGCTTTTTGTTCCTGAGTTGGGATCAGACATTTGTTCATGGGGAGTTCATTGTCCCAGCTTCAGGAGGGCCCTACCTGGCAGGGTTTCTTGTCTTTTGGCCCCCAGCACTGCTTGCATGCCAGGGCACCTACCTTGCCTCACCGGGGCCACCCTTTCCCCAGTCCAGTCACCTGGAGGAGGTGAACAGGTAGCCATTGATCCCTCCGAAAGTGGAAAGTGCCACGGAGACGGGCATGACCCAAGAAAAATAGCCCAGCAGCTTCTCCCCGAAGGTCTGAGTGAGCACAGGAGAGAGGCAGTGCATGAGGCTGGGTGGGGGCAGGGCAGGGCTGGGGACCGAGTGGGGCCCCACTCACCACGGCCACTGCGTTAGAGGCCAGCAGCTCCTGGGGGGACATGGCGGTGAAGTAGGCGATGTTGGTGAAGGTGTACACAAAGGTGACCAGCGGGATGGAGATGAAGATGGCTCGAGGTAGGTTCCTGGGGCAGTGGTGAGGGTACATCAGTGCCTGCCCTCTAGGGGCTGGGGTGGGTTCCAGGGGTGAGGAGGGGGACCAGGCGATCCAGCAACAGGAGCAGCTTTGTGTCCATCGCCTGCGTCTACTGGGGGCCTTGAGGGCAGGGAAGGGGGCAGCACTGCTATCTGTCTCACACCCGCTCAACTCCCTAAACCCAGCTTGGGCACAGGCTGGTGGGAGGAAGGCAGATGGGGGAGGGGCCACAGCATATCCTAGGACCTAAGGGTAATGTCCGCACATAAAGAGAAAATTGCATACAGCCAAAATCAGCCTTGAAAATCCCAGCAATGCCCTGAGAGCTCAGTCCACGGGCCCCGGGTGCCCCTGAGACTCCCTATCAGCCCAGCCCCTGCTGGGACTGCTCACTATGGGGTCCCTGGCTGAGCATCAGATGGAGCCACTGGCTTCATCTGCAGGGACCATGTTGTGTGCACATGTATAATTTTTGGCCAAATGCAAATAGCTGGATCCATTTAGAGCGGAACGATGATTTTCAGTGTTTCTGAGGCCCAGCAAAGGGCTGTGACTTGCCCACAGCCATTACAGGGCCAGGCTGGAACACAAGTGCCCTGGCTATCTAGAGCCATTCCTGTGGGGCAGTGGCATGGGCAGGCAGATAACCAGACCACGTCACAGGTGGCAGCAGGTCTGTCAGGGAGGCTGCCTCTCCCGTCGCCGGGCCGCACCCCTTCCCAAGGCCCAGCCGGGTGCACTCACTTTCGAGGGTCAACTAGCTCCTCGGTGACATAATTGAGGAAGTTCCAGCCGCTGAAGGCAAAGGAGCCCTGCAGGAAGGCCAGGGCCAGGTGACCCACGGAGGGCGTCATCCAGAAGTCGAAGGCATTGCTGGGCCTCAGCTCCTCGAAGTGTCCTGGGGGTCCAGAGGTCAAGGGTCAGTTTCCTCTCTCCAGCCCTGGGCACAGGCCCACCCTGGCCCTACCTTGGAAGATCTGGACAAAGCCCATGCCAATGATGAGCGACAGGGCCAGCAGCTTCCCGCCGGTGAAGATGTCCTGGATGCGCGTGGCCCAGCGCACGCTGGAGCTGTTCACCCACGTCAGGAGCACTGGGGAGGAAAGGCAAGGGGGCGGGTGGGCGCCTGAGGCCGAGACCCTCGTTGTGGGCCACAGCCAAGTCCAGCCTGAGCTGCAGAGGGTGGCATACCCTGCAGCAACCAAAGTACCTCTCCCTCTCCAGGGGTCTGGCAGCTGGAGGAGTCCTCCCCTCCTCCCCAGCAGAGGCCCCACCCCGCCTCATGGTGGGCACTCACTCAGGCAGGCCATGGAGAGCACACGGGAGGCTGCGGCGGGGGGGATGCAGTTGGGGAACACGGGCTGCAATATGTAGTTGGAGAAGGTCATGGAGATGACAGCCAGGCTGGTGGGGTACATGATAAGGACTGCGCTCCAGAGCAGCAGGAAGCTGAAATGAGTGAGGACCCAAGTGGCACAGGCATCCCATCACCTTCCCAGTAGAGCAGACCGAGGTATGGAGCAGGGCTGCACCCTGGGTCCTGGAACCCAAGGGCAGGTGCCAGCGCAGGAGGCTGGCTTCGGTCCAAGGAGGCAGCTTTCAATAGAGACTGCATTTAGCACAGTTAAAAAGCTACACGCTGCCCTTGGACAGGTGTCAAGAACCGACGGGAACCAACCACCTTTCTTTTTATTTACTTTTTAATATATTTTTATTAATTTTAGAGAGGAAGGGGAGAGAGAGAGAGAGAGAGAGAGAGAGAGAGAGAGAGAGAGAGAGAGAGAAACATCAATGATGAGAGAGAACCATTGACCGACTGCCTTCAGCATGCCCCCCACTGGAGACTGAGCCTGCAAACCAGGCATATGTCCTGACTTGGGATGGAACTGTGATCTCCTGGTTCATAGACTGACACTTAACCACTGAGTCATGCTAGCTGGGGCCAACCACCTCTCTAATGGCCACACAGCCCCTGGCCGCAGGCTGCTTCCTGCTCTGTGATGGGGTTGGGGCGGATCAGCAGTCTCGTTCCAGCAGCAGCTCTCAGCAGAGCCCCATGGCTGCAGATGACTTGAGCGGTGGTGCCCTGAGGGACCAGCCTTTGCAGAACCCTGGCTGGGGTGGGGAGTAATTTATGTCCCCTCTTCTCCAATTTCGCTCTGTAGGGTGCCCATGTAGGAGTGGGGGCCCTGCTCAAGGCTGTGAGGCCCTACTTGTTCCGGGAGCTCTGCCTGCGCCCAGGGAGGACCTGTCAGTGGGGGTGGTCCTAGCCCCTTGTCCAGCTCTCAAGAGTGGGAATTACCTCATCCAGGGACACCATTGATCTCTCCAGGCACCAAGTTTGGTGGCTTCCTCTTGGTGCTCACCCTTGCTCTGTAGCCCTGCTTCCTACCCCTTGCTTTGCACCCTGCCCCAACACCTTGGCTTCTGGGCAACCTAACTCCACGACCCGCGCCCCCCCTTGCTGGGTGCTCCCCTCTGCAAACCCTTGATGCTGGACGCCCCCAGGCTGAGTCAGGAGGTAGGGTCTTGGGCCCTCCCCGCCCCCCACCTTCCCTATATGCTTGCTAGTTGCGCAGCACAATTGTTTAGCTTTCCCAGGCCCCAGGCTCCTGCGAGGACCCTGTCCCCAGAGGAGAGCAGCCAGCGGTGTGCGTGCCCCGCCAGGGCCACATCAACAGCTGCCCCATTAAAGTCCCCTGGTCCAAGCTTTTTATACTTAGCCCAGATTTTTTCCCTGAGCTCAACCCAACCCCCTGCCAAGACCCGACTGTGCATTTCCCCAGATATGCCACAGACCCCACCAATGTAACAAGCTCCACCCAAAACCTCCCCCTCCCCCTCCCATTGCCATCTATGGAGGCTTGCCAGTGGGAAAGCAAGGGTCACTCCCGCGGCACCCACCTCTCCCTCAGGCCACGCTGGCTACCATGTCCTCTGGAACCAGGATCCTAAATGCTTATGGAATCTCTTTGTACCTTTATTGAGGCCTCAGCATGGCTCAGCTGGACAACTGCAATAGCTTTGATCTCCTGGCTGCCCCCCCTCCCCCCCTCCCCACCAAGCCCTATTGCCTACCATGGATCTGACAAGCTGGCCAGACCACCACCCTCTGCACATGCTCCAACTGCTCCACAGAGAAAACGCCACTCTTCCTCCAAGCTTTGGTGTAAACGTAGTTTTTCCTGGGAGCCTTCCCTAGGTGGTTGGCACCCCATCCTCTTGGCTGCTGGGCCACTGCCTCTCACACACACCCTCAAAGCTGGGACCCTTTAGGTTTTAAGCACCTCTGAGGGGTGGTTTCCCTGCTGCTCCGCGAGGACAGGGGCACATCTTTTTATTCACACGGTGGGTGCTCAGTGAATGTTCACTGGTGAACAAAGGAGTGTTGGGAGCTACTTAAAGAGGAGCTTCTGCAGGGCACTGGCAGGAGCACCATGCCCCTCCTCACACACATGTGGCTCACTAAACTCAAGGCCATCTTTGCCCGGTGCTAGCATTACCTAGAGCAGTGATGGTGAACCTATGACACGCGAACTCATTTTTTTTTTGGTTGATTTTTCTTTGTTAAATGGCATATAAAAGCCTATCTAATAATAGACAAAAATGGTAATTGACCGTACCTTCATTACGCCCCCCATCGGCTAATCAGTGCGATATGCAAATTAACCGCCAACAAAGAGGGCAGCTAATTTGCATACTGCAGGCAGGGCGAGTCACCACCATCCCGCCTGCCCCGCCGCCATCTGGGCCTGCTATCTGTGACCTGGGGCAGCGGGCGTCCCGTGTGTGACCCGACCCGGGGCGGCCGGGCGGGGCAGCAGCGATCGGCTGGCTCGCCTGGGCGTCCTGTGTGTGACCTGACCCAGGGCGGCAGGGCAGGACAGCGTGGCTCCTCTGTCACCCCAGCTTCCTCATCACAGCTCCTTTGGGGGCCTAAGCCTTTAGTTGGACATTTCCCGAGGGCTCCCTGGCTGCCAGAAGGATGTCTGACTGCAAGCTTAGGCCTGATCCCCCGGGGAGTGGGCCTAAGTCGACTGGTAGACATTCCCCAAGGGGTCCTGGACTGCAAATGGGTGCAGGCCGGGCTGAGGGACCCCCCCACCCCAAGTGCACAAATTTTTGTGCACCGGGCCTCTAGTATAAAATAAATATCAAAAATATAAATCTTTGTTTTACTATGGTTGCAAATATCAAAAAATTTCTATATGTGACACGGCACCCGAGTTAAGTTAGGGTTTTTCAAAATGCTGACACGCTGAGCTCAAAAGGTTCGCCACCACTGACCTAGAGGTTTCAGATAGTAAGGGCCTCCCCATCCACAAGCACTGGGTGGGGAGTGGGGCTTAGATACAGCTTTATTTAAAAGGAAACAGAGAGTTCAAGGGGCCAGCTGCAGTGTCCAGCTTGAGTGGGGTGGGCACTGCTCTCGCCCACCCTGGCCTTGGAAGGTGCCCCACCCCCTTCCCTCCGCCCATCCCTGTGAACTTCCTGTGATGTGAGAAGCAGAAGAGGAAACCCAGGTCCAGGCTCGGCTGGCCATCCATTCTGGAGAGGCTCCCCACCCACCACCGAGCCGCTGGCACCCCACACTTACCCAGCCAGGCCCCCGAAGATCTCCGTGACATAGGCATAGTCCCCGCCAGACTTAGGGATGGCGACTCCCAGCTCCGCATAGCAGAGGGAGCCCAGGGCGGTGACGCCCCCGCCCAGGACCCAGATGAAGAGGGCCAGACCCACAGAGCCAGAGTGCTCCAGGACTCCCTTGGGGGAGATGAAGATGCCGGAGCCTATGATGTTCCCTGTGGGGGAGATGGAGAGCATCAGCCTTCCCTGTGGGGCTCTGGGTGCTCCAGTGAGGACGAGAACCCAGGCTGCTCCCTGGAGGAGGGGAGAGGAGGGCCTGGAGGCATGGCTGTCCTGGGCCCTCAAACCCTGCAACTCCACTCTGGGCTGATCATCTCCCCTCCCTAGTCCCTGGCATGGGAGTGGCACCTTGTCCACAGGCTCCCCTGCCAGAGATGGGTCTTGTTCCTCTGCCCGCCCCCCCCCCCCACACACACACTTATTCCCACAAAGTGGGGCAAGCAAGGAGGCTCGGCCACCTGAGTGATGGCAGAGTGGTGGCCACCCCTGTGCATTCCCACAGGGCCCAGGTCAGCCCTTTCCCTCTGGCTGAGGCCTCCAGTTTTTTCAAGCCTCCAGTCACCTGTCCTATGTCCAATATGCTGGCCAATATGCTGGCCAATATGCTGACTCTTAAAGCGAGTCCTCGACCATGACATTTTCCTGCCACTTTCCTATTGGCTGAAGTCCCAACCATGAAGTGACTCAGGAAGCGACTCCTCTTCTATGAAGCCCTCCTTGACCATGCTGGTTTGGGCTCCTCTTTCCACTTTACAGCCCCGTGGTTCGCCAGACGGTGCCCCATTCTTTATTTCTTTACCTCCCATCTCCCTTTTCCCTGCCAGGTTGCTTCTCTGCTTGCTTCCTGGGTTCCTGGAGGCACCCAGCCAGGGCCCAGGCTACAGGCACAGACTCTGACGAGACCTGTTTCCTGGCACTGTGGAAACGTTTCAGATCTTGGGCAAGGGCCAGTAGGGTCCGTTTTCCGGGCTGGGGGTTGGTCCGCAGCCATCATGCAAGGAATGGAGTGGGCACTAGAGTGGGGCTCTTGGCCCGGCCTGGGGTCTGGACACGGACTGCCTCTCTCCTTGGGCCAGCCCACTGGTTGCAAACAGGTCACTGCTCTCAAACCAGGACCCTAATGGGAAACGCTGGTTGGGGCCCAGGAGACCAGCCCTCTCCCGGCTCAGGTCGCCTCTCAAGTCTGTCTGTACAGCGGGACTATTATGAGGGTTCAGCGAGATACCGTGAGGGAGGCCTTCAGCTGTATCCACATGTACTTTCCACCTTCATGTGCATGATTCTGTGTACTGTCTACAACCTCACCTCTCACTCACCCCGGTTCCTCAGCACAGAGTAGGTACTCAACACACATCTGTTGCGGAAACTAATGGGCGAACAAATGCCCTAGTGGCCCAATGGCGTCCATGTCCTGAGGCAATGACTGGTTTCCTCATCTCTGACGTGGGGGCAGCAGTCTCTGCTCAGCCCGCTCTGTTCAGCCCGCCCGGAGAGGCACCATGAAGGGGAGCAGAGGGTGGCTGGCTTCCAAGGTTCAGTGCAAGTAAACCTGCCGGGGTCATGGGAGGTCTGCCCTGCCCCTGGGGCTGTGCATTAGGGGAGGGGGACAGTGCTCCTTCGACCCACAGTGTCTGGGATGGAACAGTGGGAAGTACTCAGTGGCCAACTCAGGGTCTGCAAGGCAGTTCCCAGGATAAGCAAGACTCTGAGCACCCACTTAGGCCTGAGCTCCCTGCCAATTAGAGCAAAGAGGGGACCGTGTTCTGGGTGACCTGGGTCTCATCATCTGTGCAAACGAGTCAAGTCACGTCACTGGCGATTTGCACTAGGGCCTGCCCCAGAGGACGTAATCCCAGACTCCACAGGCCACATGAATAAAAAAGCAACACTGGGACGCAGGCCCAGCCCCTCATCAGGATCGCCCCCATCTGCCAGGGCCCTGCGTGGAGTGCACCTCCACCAGCCCAGAGCCTGCCGCTCCACCTGCCACGCCCCCAGGCGGGTCTGGAAGAGGACACAGCGGTGGCCGCCAATCTGCATGCATTCCTTGTCCACCGTGCTACCCTCCACCCCCACCCCCACCCCCAGCCGACACAGATTTCCAGTCTGACGGCCATGACGCCCCACTTGGTTTTCCAGTCACATCCCAGGAGCCCTAAATACATCCAGATAAGGACGAAGGAATTCCCGTCCTCCAGCCGCTCAGCCTGCTTCCAGCGGGAGAGGACCTCCCTCGCCTACTGCGGGGGCCCAGGTCCTGGGTGGGCTGGTGGGTTTCTGAAATGCTTTGAGTTCGCTGTACCTGGCAGGAGAGTCCGTGTTCTCAGGACTTGGTGGAGTGGTAGTTGCCAGTGAGGTCGGAAGCCAGCGGGGGCTGGGTGGCCTTGTCAGGAGCTAGATGCATTTGGTCTGGGACATCCAGAGCCCGAACCACGCACCCCGTGGGGACCCCATCACTCTACACAATTCTGCTTGGCAGGGCCTCAAGGGCACAGCACTCAGGGAAGCCAGCCTGGTACCTTGTGCTGGAGGCTGGGATCTGAAAGGGACCTATCACTAGCCTGTGCCCAGAGGCTGGGGACTCGAGTGCTGGGGCCTGGGGACCGGCTCGGGGTGAGGGATCACTATTGTTTTGGACACATGGCTCAGGCTACAGCGAAGGACTACTCTCCATGTGGCTCAAAGGAACAGGTGTGCCAGCTACTGTCTCAGGTGCTTGGGGCCCTCTCTTGGGCCTGGACAGCTGCAGGTTTGTGCTAGAAGGTGGCAGGAAACCCTGTGGTTCCAAGGCTTCCGTGTTCCCATCCATCCCATGGGACAGCTGTTCTGTGATCCCTGCAGGTCCTGGCGGGGAGGGGTCAGAGCTCCCGGGCTGGTGGACACGGATGTGAGGAGGCCCCCTCTTCCCTCCTCCCGCCCCTCTTCCCTTCCCTGCTGGGTGGTTTTTATCACATTAAGATGTTTGGCCTGAAGGGGCTTACCCGGATCCTGGGAGGAATGAAGAAAGGGCCATTATTCCCCTGGCTGTTGCGGTGCACACTGACCTATTTCTGGGACCGGCAGACCATGAAGGTCACAGGGGTGGACTGTGGAGGTGGTGGTGGCGGAAAGAGCCAGCTGCCCTTGGTGTGTGTGTGTGTGGGGGGAATGCACAGTCTGACTTGGGGAGGAGGCAGGGAGGTCCTGTCAGGTTGCCGGCACCACCCTTCAGCCCTAGAAACTCTTTCAGGAGTTGGCTGTGTAGCCTCAGGCCGGCCCTGCCCTTCTGGGTCTCAGTTTCCACTTCTGCCAGGTAGTGCCACTGGGCTAAGGGGCCACAGAGGGCTGTCTAACCCTGACTTTGACAGAGACACTGCTGGGCAGGGTGCGTGTATCTTGTACATCTGCATGGTGCCCAAGGAAACACTGTTCAGGGGACCCTGCTCCCCACTGTGAAGGTCTCTCCCCGGCTCACTGGCCTCCCAGAAGCAACACCACCCCCAGGAAGCCCTTTCTGACTGCCCACCTTGGCCCAATAACTTGGACCCTGCCCCATTGCCATGGTATCTGGATGATGGCCAGGAAGTGATTCTTTCATTTGTCACCCTGAGATGAAAGGCCTGAGCCCCCTCAGAAGGACAAGGAGCTCACAGTCACCTCCTACCTGCCTTGCCTATCCCCGACTCTTAGCCAGCATGGCCACATTGCCCTGCTCGTCCTGATCAGGGGCTGGCCATGGGCCAGGCCTTCTTCCTTTGTTCTGGGCAATGAGTCCCAGCACCTCCCATTTGGGCTTGATCAATGAGGCCTCTGGCTTCCAAATTCCCTGGAAGATACAAAAGCTCCAAAGAGCTTCAGATTCCCACTGGTAGATCCTAAGGCCCCTAGGCCATGGGCAATGGCACTTACTAGTTGAGACTCCCAGATCTGGGTTCAAATCCCAGTTCCCTTGTGATGGGGGCTGTGGATAAGGAACTTCATCTCGAAGCCTTGTCTGTAAAAGGCGGAGATGAGGCAGTGATGTAGGCATGCCCCTGCCCAGCCTGGCACATCGGAGGCCCCAGGAAGTACTGGGGACCTTAGCTAGTTTTGGCATCCCCTTTAAAGACACCTTAGGCCACCCTATCTGGCCTTTGGAGACATGACCCCCATGGGACCTCAATACCCTGGGGTCAGAAGTCATGGCCCTAATTTGGGGGCCCTGCTGTTGGCCTGTGGTTTTAAGCACATGAATGTCCTTATAGTGAGTATGTCAGGCACCCCTCCAGGGGGACAAAAGTGCCTGCTGAGGTCTCGGCAGAACTCTAGGGAGGTGAGTGGGGACATTTCCAGGACATGCCTGGAATTGCCAATTGGCCGGCATGCATGTCCGGCCTAACCCATTTTCCTTTTGAGAGAGGGCTGAGCCGAAGTGTGGAGCTCTCTCTGCCCAGTCTGGCCCTGTCTAGAGGGCCTCATCCGTGCCTGTCTCCAGACTGAGTCTCGCCAGATGCCTGGGTGAGCTCCATGCTGCTGCATCCAGCAGTCAAGCCCAGGACTCATTGCACTTGCCTCATCATCAGCCTCATCGTTGCCCACAGGGCAGCCTCCTGACCCTCTTCCCTCCTCGCTGGCTGCTCCTTCTCCAACTCCTCTGCTGGTCCCTTCTCATTTCTCCTAAATCCTAGACAGCAAGTGCCTGGGGCTTAGTGTTGGGGCCTCTTCCTTTTCCTTTCAACACTCACTCCCTTGGAGACCTCATCCAGGACCCCAGTGTTTGCTGGAAACTCCCAAATTTATATCCCTAGCACAACCTCCCGGCTAAACTAAACCAGTATAACCAATTGATTACTCAGCAAATAGACACCACTCCTCTCACACGTTCAAAGCGGGGTTCCTGACTGTCAGCCCCATTTCCCCCAAACCTGCTCCTCTCACAGCCTTCCCCCGATCAATAAATGGCAGACATGCTCCCACTTGCTCAGACCCAACCTTGGTGCCACTCTTGCCTCCTCTCTTTTCCCCACATCCTGTGTCCTCACACATCCTTCATCATCACAAATCCTTTTGCTTTACCTTCCAAACACACCAGAACTGAACCTCCTCTTAGCACCTCCCCTGCTGGCATTCTGCTCTGAGCCACTGTCATCTCTTATCCAGGTGACTCGCGTGCCCTCCTGACCAGGCTTCCTGCTCTGTCCTTGCTGCTGGTAGATCCTCAGGCCCCTAGGCCATGTCATCTCCCAAATCCTGAGTCCACCACCTGCAATTGTGTCATGCAACTTCCAGCCTCAGTTTCTGCTCCATGGGGAGCCCCATCGCATCCCCGCCCCTCCCATCCCATCTCATGCCATCCCTTCTGTTCCATGCCATCACAAAAAGAAAAGAAGCCAGAAAACTTGGATCCCACCCCACTCCTGACTCTATACTCCTGCTATCTACAATCCTCTCTCCTGCCTTAATTTTCGCACCTTAGCACACTTATCATCACTCTGTCGGCTGAGCAGTCAGCTTATCTTGTTTGCCCTTTGACTTTCATGCTGGCATGTCAGCTGAGCAGTCAGCTTATCTTGTTTGCCCTTTGACTTTCATGCTGGCATGTCAGCTCTCGAAAGACAAGGATATTGTCTGTGCTGCTCCCTGCTGTGTCTCCACCACCCAATTGTTAAATAGACGAATGAGTGTGTCCGGTGCTGGCAGGTCCCGCCCTTGTAGTTAGAGCTGCCTCGGCCCCCAACAAGGGCTTCTCAGAGCACACAAGGGCACCCTGGGCTGGCTGCAGCCTCAGGCCCTCAGCTTCCTCTTCTATACACTGGGGCTGTGGTGAGGCACAGACAAGCTCCTGTGTGGTTTAATGCCTCCTGGGGTCTTGGTGCGGAGGGGCTGGGGTTCTGGAGAAGGCCATCCTCTCAGCAGCCCCACCACCTCAGTCCTGAGGAGCCACAGAGAGGGGCCTGGGTGGGCAGGATTAGCTCCTAAGGAGATGGATTCATGAAGCAGATCACCTGAACCTACTTAAGCCTGATCTACAAATGCCTACATGGGCTGGATAATGAGTCAAAGGGAGAGAGTGGAGGACAGGATAGGCTGGTCAGCAGACCAGGGGTGACTCCCACGCTGCTGGACCTGGGCACATCCCTTCCTTGGGTGTGGATTGAGAGGGAACTGGCTGAAGTCCCTGAGTCAGGACAAGACACCCTGTACATGCAATCCTGGGTGGGGGTGTGGAAGATTTCTGTCCATCTGTTTGTTCATCCATCCACGGTGGAGTGGAGAGCGCAGAAAACCCTGGGTGGATGAGCTCCCAGTTCAGTCTTTACCTTTCCCCATAAGGAACATGAATCTGGCCCCAATTCTGCCCAGCACCAGAGCAATATGTAGATGGGCAATGGATTGGGAAATGAACCTAAATCTGCTCCCAATTCCCGAGTCCACCACCTGCAGTTGTGTCACGCAACTTCCAGCCTCAGTTTCTACATTTGTACAAATTTTCATCTTGTAAGGCAGGCATGAGACTCAAATGAGATAAAAGGACATGTTTTATATAGTGATAAGAGGTGGTTTTCTGAATAGATATTGGATAAGGCAATGTCTCGCACAGCCCCACCCCAGCTGGCTCTTTTTCCTCCAGGCTGGCCTGTTCCCCTCCAGTTGTGTTCACAGAGGCCAGCAGGTGCTGTCCAAAACACATTTTAGGTGGAGTCTTATTCCAGCCCGAAGCCCTTCTATTTCCCGAAAGCACGGCTCCTCAGCCTGGGGCGGGGCAGGGGGTACAAGGGAAGGGAGAATAGGATCTTCTGGGAAGTCTATCTGGGAGCTTTGGAGATAAGTTCAGTAGCTGGTAACAAAGATTATGGAGTAAAGTAAAAAGCTCTCAAGACCTTTAAAGCTAAATTATGATACTTTACAGACATTTTTGATTTTGAGCAGGTTCCCCAGGACAGAAGGTGGGATGTTGGCCCCCCAGAGAACAGTGAATGGGAGGTGGTGGGGGCCTTCAGGGCATCAGGTGGGGAGGGCAGAGTAGACCCTGACTCAGTCCATACCTTCCTCCTCCCTCCTCTCCTGTCACCTTCTGTTCAGGTTAATGATCCCCTGGCCTGTCTCCTGCCCATACCAGCCTCTTGTCTGCTATTACCCTTCAAAGCTCCCCAAGCAGGGTTGCTGGAGTGCCCTGGCCTGGGGTCAGGTCATCTGTGTTCTGTTCTTGAGTCTGACACCCTTGGGCGAGTCACCCCTGGAGAGGCAGAGTAAGAATACAGCTCAAGGACATTGGACTTGCTGAGGTGGCCCAGGAAGAGCACTGTAGCTGGCTCCAGACATGCCTCTTGACCCCAGCCTCTGGGCCCATCCATGTTGTGTGGGCTTCCCTTCCTGGGGGCACAGCTCCTGGAAAGAGTGAGGACTGGGACAAAGCTCTAACCAGTACCCTGGCCAAATCTCTGGAACCAGCCCTTCCTGCCAGCTGACAGTCAAGCAGGGGCACCCTAGTCCAAGAAGGTCTCAGGGCCAGGTCAGGACCTGCTCCTGGGAGATGCCATTCCAGGGGCAATGGGGAGGCAGAGAGCTACCTGGACAGGGGCTGTGTTCTGAGGCAACTCATGCTGTGGGGACAGGGACTAGCCAAGAGCCAGCCCCCAGCCGGGTCCAGGAGCTCCCAGCATGGGGCAGAGGAGGAGGTGAAGATCCCGTCTGCCCTCCTGAGCCCTTAACTCTCTCCATCCTCAGGGTTCTGGAAATGGGTGGGCAATGGATGAACCAGCAGCTCCCACTGGTTGGGGAGGTGGTAGGTTGAGAGCAGTCAAGACCCCTGTCATTCACCCATCCAGCCACGACTCCTGGGACACAGGCAGGTCTCTGAGGCACCTGGTGTGACACAGGCACAGATCTGGTCAGCCAGTTCCCAAGAAGTCAGTGTTCATGACTTGGGACCGAAAGAGGAAGATCCTCCCACTGTTCTCACTGCCCTGAGCCCTCTGTCTACCTAGGAGTCCCCGTCTGGGGGCCGGACACACAGACCTATTCTCACGTGAGGAACCCGAGGCCCGAGAGCCAGAGGACACGGTGCCTGTTGGGATCCCAGCTCAGTGAGCAGTTGGCTTTTCTGTAGGCTCGGCCTGTCCCACCTCAGCACTGGCCTCCTCCCCATTAAGCTGCAAGAAATATGCTCTGAACCTATTTCCCCACAGGCCCTCCTGCTTTTGAGACTAAATCACTCCCACAGCATGGCCCTCGGACCTGCACATAATAGGGACTTAGATGGAGCCACAGCCCAGAACTTGAGGCCTTAGCCGGTGGGCCTGTCCAGCCCCCACCCTGGCAAGGCTCCTGCACTTCAGGCAAGACCATAATGCTGTCCACTTCACAGATGAGAAAACTGAGGGTAACTGCCAGGCCAAAGCCCACAGCCAAGTAAAGGCAGGATGAGGAAACAGCTGCGGGAGGAACCCGCACCTCCCTCACCCACAACAATTCAAGGCGCCTGGGGAGGTGGGAGCAAGAAGCCTGAGGCCCCGTGTGAAGGGCGACACTGCCGGTGCTCTCACCTCCGGTCCCACCGTCGCAGGCCGGTAGGTGCGCCTCCAGCCTGCAGCCCCGCATCCTAGGCACCCGCCCGCCCGGGGCCCCGCTCACCGATGATGATGGTGCAGGCGCTCACCAGCCCGATCTCCTTCTTGAGCGTCACTGGCTCCGAGGCGCCGGGACCCGGGCCTGGGCCGGGGGAAGGCGAGGGCGCAGGGCCGGGCTTCCCACGCCCGCTTGGCTGCTGCGTGTGGCCGGCCATTTCGCTGTCCAGCCGCGTCCCCTCTCCTTGCGCTGTCCCGTCTATCCGATCGGCTGCCAGTCCGTCGGTCCGTCCGACTGTCGGTGAGCGGACAGCGCTCACAGGCGGGCGCATGCGCTGGCGCGGGGCCCGGGCTGTGGGCCGCGGGGCTGGGGCCAGGGAGCGGGGAAGGAGGGCCGGCGGGCAGCCCCTTCCCCCACCTCCCTTAAAGGAAACTGCCCCGGCCCCAGCTCAGTACTGGCCTGGGAGGGAAAGAGAGGACTTGGGGGAGACCAGGAACGGCTTCCCAGATGAGCAAAGGAAGGGGCCTTCTGCTGCCCGGGTTACCTCCACTCCTGGGGTGTGTGTGTGTGTGTGTGGGGGGGGGGGGGGCAGCAGAGCTCAAAGGCAGCGGGTCCCTGTCCTCACCGAGACCTGGGAAGCTGGCAAAGAACTGCCTTTGTGTGGGGACCCACTGTGTGCCAGCGCCTCCGCGCTCCTTGAATTCCGGCCCTACTGAGCGCGTGGCGGGAGGGGGGTGGAAGCTGAGGCCCAGAGGTTCCTAAGGGCAAGTGTCAGGCCAGAAACACCAGCCCTTTCCGATGCTTCCTTGGCTTCCAGACGGCGGGTGATGGCGGGCGGAGGCACAACCCTTAGGGGGTTGGAGGCTGGGCCCCGGCCCCCCTCTGAGGGGCCAGGAGACCCTAGGCACCACCACCCCAGCCCGGAGAGGCAGGGCCCGCGAAGCCCCCTTATCCAGAGGACCCATCGCGGGCGGGAGCCCTGGGGAGGTGCCCAGCCCCCCTCTCCCCACCGCGCCGCACGGGTCCCAGGTGCAGACGCGGAGCCACAGGTAGAGTCTGGGATCAGCGGCTGGAACTCCGGTCTCTGGCGAAGGACCGCGCGGTCCAGCCTGGTTCACGGAGATGAGCCACCTCCACTGCCGGAGGCAGAGAAAGGACTGGGCCCCGAGGTCTCGGGAGGAAGTCGGGCTTGCGGGAGCTGAGGGAGGCTGCCTCTTCCTGGAAGCCCTCGGGGACTGTCCCCCTCCCTCCCGCGGAGCAGACACAAGGGGGGAGGTCGCGTCGGGGGCCACCGGAGCTGCGGGCGGGGCGAGCCTGGCACGGTGCAGCCGGCGGCGGAACAGCCTTTGTCTTTTCCTGGCGGCCGCCAGCACGCGCTGTCCCCTGCATGTGGATGAGGACGCGCCAAGCGCCCCATCCTCCCCCTCCCCAAGGCCTCGCGGCTTGCGGGGCGGGGGGCGCGGCCTGGGGTCCGACAGCCGTAGGCCGGACAGGGGGTGGCGCTGGGCCTGGAGTTGGAACTGGCATCTGGAGCATCGAGGTGTGAGCCTGGTGGTGCAGGATGAGAAGGGACTTTGTAGTTGGGGACGGGGACCTGGGGGTAGGGAGCCGGGTCGACCCTGGGTGGACGTCCTGGGGGGAGAGGGAGGGGAGTAGGCATTCTTGGCTCCCTGTGCCTCCCGCCCCAGTGAGCCTCATTCAGCGGCTGGTTCCCTTAAAGGAGCCTCTCTCCAGGGCGGTGGGGTGGGTGAGGGGAGGCAGCAGAGTTCTGGATCCCGGAGTAGTTGGTCCTGATCACCGGGTAGCCTCCACCTGCTGGCTCGACTCCCCATACCCAGTCACTGTCAACGCCAGGGTGCAGCCAGGGCTAGAGCACCCTGGGGATGGCTGAGCGCACTGGCAGGGGCCGGTGGTTCTGGGAGGCGAACCTCCTGGCACCTGGACCGGGGTGTTTGAGAAGGGCTGACGCCAGCGCGCTGCACAGGAAGGAATCTGCATGGTGCTGTTCCGGCCCACAGCTCAGGAGGTCATTTTAGTGAAACTGAACTAGAACCTGCCAACCCCAATGGGAAGAATAGGTTGGTAAAATTGCTTTACCATCCAAAGTTAATCAGTACAACTCCCCACATTAACAGAGAAAAACGAAGAAAAGCACAGCCACTTCTCAATAGATTCAGAAAAGTCATCTACAATTTAAACAAACAAACACTCTTAACAAATTAGTAACAGAAGAGAACTTTCTCAGTCCGATAGAGATATCTACCCAAACCCAAATCCCATCAAGAAACAAAGAACAAAATCCTACAATTAAAACCATGCTAACGGTGAAATGTGGGATGCTTTTCCATTGAGACTGGCGATGAGAAAGAATGTTTGAATTCTTCAATTATATGCACCTGTGCTGGAGGTCCTAGCGGGTACAATAAGGCAAGAAAAGGAAGTAAAAGGCGCACTTTCTAGTAAACCAAATCCACAACACTGACTGCGTCGAGTGCAGGCGAGGATGTGTAGCAATAGGAACTCTCACTCATTGCTGGCGGGAATGCAAAATGGGACAGCTACCTTGGAAGACAGCTTGGCAGTTTCTTACAAAACTAAAATAACTCTTACCGTACAATCCAGCAGTGGTGCTCCTTGGTAATTATCCAAAGAAGTTGAAAACATATCCACCTAAAGATCTGTACATGGATGTTTACAGCAGCTTTATTCATAATTGCCAAAACTGGGAAGTAATCAAGATGTCCTTCAGTAGGTGAAGGGATACATTAAACTGTGGTACATACACTCAACAGAATAATATTTAATGCTAGAAAGAAGTGAGCTATCAAACCATGAAATGACAGGGAGGAAAGTTAAATGCATGTTCCTAAGTGAGAAAAGCCGGTCTGAAAAGCAGTAAAAAGCTATGCAGATAGGAAAGGAAGACATATAATTGTCATTTACATATGACATAATTGAGTAGAAATCTAAAAAATTTATAAGTAAACTTAAGGTTAATTAGTTAATTTATCACTGGATATAAGTTCAATATAAAAAACTAATTGTATTTCTTTATGCCAGCAATAATTAGAAAATAAAATTTATAACAGCATAAAAATCAATACCTAAGAATAAATCTAGTGAGTTATGTGTACAATTTACACACGGAAACCATAAAACATGACACTATGTAAGATGTAAGTTAATTGAGGGATAGTCTCTCTTCATGGATTGGAACTTAAGATGTTGATTTTTCTCTAAGCTGAACTATAGAATTGATCTATAGATCCAATGCACTCAAAGTCCCAAAGGGTTTTGTTGAGGTTTGCTTGGATTTTATTTTATTTTTTTATGAAACTTGACAAACTGAGTCTAAAATATAGATGAAGAAGAACAAAGATGGAGGACTTATCCCACAGCTAGGGAAACAGTTTGGTTTCAGTGCAAGGATAAACAAATCAACCAGAAGAACAAAACAAAAGATGCAAAAACAGACTCATCCATCTATGAACACCTGGTTTATCATCACAAAGTTGACATCTCAGGGCAGTGGAGAAAGGGCAGACTTTTCAATAAATGGTGCTGGATTGCCCTGGCCAGTGTACTCAATGGTTAGAGCGTCTGCCTACACACTGTAGGGTTGCAGGTTTGATTCCTGGTCAAGGAATATTTCTGAGTTGTGGTTTACTCCCCACCCCTGGTTAGAGTGCCTGCCAGAGGCAACCAGTTGATGTGTCTCTCTCACACTGATGTCGCTCTCTCTTTCCCCCTTCCCTCCATCTCTTCTACTCTCTCTGAAAAGCAATGGTAAAAATAGCCTCATGTGAGGATTAACAACAACAACAAAAATGGCGCTGGAACAATTGAGTATCCATATTGAAGAGAAAAACCAACTCTTCATTTCTACCTTCCACCATAACCTACCCAGTGGTTCTCAACCTTCTGGCCCTTTAAATACAGTTCCTCATGTTGTGACCCAACCATAAAATTATTTTCGTTGCTACTTCATAACTGTAATGTTGCTACTGTTATGAATCGTAATGTAAATATCAGATATGCAGGATGGTCTTAGGCGACCCCTGAGAAAGGGTCGCTCGACCGTCAAAGGGGTCGCGACCCACAGGTTGAGAACCGCTGCCCTACACCAATTCCATGGACATGAGTGTAAAGGAAAATGTATGTTGAAAGGTAAAACCACAAAGCTGCTAGAAGAAGACGTGGAGAGAATAGATTTATTTTCTTAAACAGGACACAAAAAGCACTATTAGTAAGAAAGTGATAAAAAACACTATTAGTAAAAAAGTGATAAATTGGACTACATAAAATTAGAAACATCTGTTAATCAAAAGCCATGATTAAGAGAGGAAAAAGTAAGCCGCATATGAGAAAAGTTATTTCAATACATCTATGTGACAAAGGATTTGTATCTAAAAAATAGGAAAATGACTGCAAATCAATAGGAAAAAGACTTTAAACAGGTTCTTCACAAAAGAGGCTGTCCAATGGCAGGTGAGCTCCTGAACAGGTGTTCAACCTCATCAGTCATCAGAGAAATGCAAATTAAAATCAGAATGAGATACTACTTCACATCCACCAGAACGCTTCAAGTTAAACACCAGTGGTCCTAGCTGGTTTGGCTCAGGGATTGAGCGTCAGCCTGTGGATTGAAGGGTCCGGGGTTCGATTCCGCTCAAGGGCACATGCCTGGCTTGCAGGTTCAATCCTCAGTAGGGGGGTGTGCAAAAGGCAGCCTATTAATGGTTCTCTCTCATCATTGATGTTTCTCTCTGTTCCTCTCCCTTTCTCTCTGAAATCAATTAAAATATATTTAAAAAGTTAAACACCAGTAGTTTGCGTAATTTTTCATATGTAGGTTGCTAGTACACTCATTTGAACTAGAATAGGACATTAAACATGTCCTGGGCATGGTCCTTGGGTAGGACAGAATCTGTGCGGGGGAGGGGGGGCAGGGGGGGGAGGGACGGACTCTGGGCCTGTTTTCTCTACCAGCTCCTCAAGGGCCTTGAACCCCTTCAGTGCTCCACCAGTTCTGGTCTCAGCCCCTCTTCTCCTTCTTACCCACAGTTCCAGCCCAGCTCTCCACTCAGGCAGCCTCAGCGTCTCCTTGCTTTCTACCATTCTGATCCCAAACCACCGCCTGTCAAAGTCTCAGGCATCTCTTTGTCGATGGCTCTTGGGGACCCCTCTCTGCTTCTGTATTATGGGGTTCCCAGCCCTGGACATTGTTGTTGCCCTTTCTTGACTTCTTTTCTCTCTCCCTCTGCACCCTGGCTAGACAGCCCTTACTCATGTCCACTCCTAACACTCCTTGGGCAGGAGTACAAACCAAGGTTCCACGTACTCTATGCCTAAATATTTAGAAGTTACAAATTAAACTCTGCCATGGCCAAGCCCTCATGCACACCCTGGCCCTGGCCCACACTCACAGGGCAGTCCTGATGGCCACTATCAACTGAGGCAGGTGTTGACCAAGAGTAAATGAGTCAGAAAACTTTGGCTGGAAATAAATTCTTCAGGGGGTAATCAGAGCATTACCCACAAGAAATCTGTGCACTGGTAGGGTCCCTAGCAGCTGCTGCTGCTGGCCCAGGGCCTCCCTCCCTTCCCCTGGCTGGCCCCGCCTCCTGGTCGAACTCCCAGAATCTTGAACTCCCGGATGAGGGGACAATTTGCATATGACGCTTTTATTATATAGGATAGTTTATCTCCAGCCATCATTGGAGAGTTCAAAAGTTGAAGTTTCCAGACTAGTAAAAGCAAGAGTAGATTAACTCCTCTGCCTCAGCCTACTTGATTTTAGTAATTTAGCAACTTGACTACAGTGACTCCATTTTAC